GGTACGAAATCAGCGCTCAGGTCCTGTTTGTTTAACACAAAGCCCAAAAATAATAAGTTCAGTAAAACAAGAGCTAAATACACGTAAACATACAGCTATGTAAGTGTCGTAAGAACAAATATAAACGTTAGAGTAGAAAGCCACAGTGAGGTGTGCGTAGCAGCCAGACCGATGTAGTCTTGCACATATATGGATGAAGTGTTGACTGGAGCAACTGGTGCAGTCACCTACTAGGTTCTGATGAGCTCTGTGTGTTCAGGTCTGGGAATGCTGGCCAGCGTTTACACCAACGACGAGGAGAGAGGCATCGCGATGGGCGTGGCCCTGGGAGGACTGGCCATGGGAGTCCTGAGTGAGACGCTAGCACGCTGCATCACTGTGACATGACAGCTGAACACTGGCAGCCAGTCAGACACCTGCTTAGAGCCTCTACGGCTCAGTGTGAGGTGTACGGTTTAGTCCTGTCACTGGACCTTCCACTGATACACTGTATGGCCTATATCAGCTGTGGTCAGAGCTACAGCCGTCCTCAGGTGTGTTCATGCCCTCCCACTAACGGAGGAACACAGCAGCACACCTTAGTGGTTCAACAGAAATATTAAAAACCAGCCTGATGGACCCGTGAACTAGTATGTAGCTGAACAACCCTCTGAGCCAATCACTGCCATCAGGTGCTTCCTGTAGCTCTCAGTCAGACTTGTGCACCTGTTGACAGGTATTCTGGCTCTCATTGGTCCACCACAGTTTGGTTTCTTCAAATGATTCTTTCCAACCACAATTCAAAGCAACGTCTTATTTCACTGAATTGTACTTTAGCTAATGTTTATTTATTATTACTTTTCCAGTCTCTAGTTATTGGAGTGACTGTTGTGAGTTTTGCCTTTTCCTTCATGGGAGGGGATGAATCCATGTGAGGACGGCTGGATTCGCTGAATCACAGACACGTTCCACCAGCTACACTTCTGATGTTGTACATGGAGTGAAATATTACACATTTCTGAAACTGATGAGAAAGTCAAGCTGCAGATCAGAGTTCTGTGCTTATTCAGAGTTCAGTGTCTGAGGTTCGGCTGTTGAGAAGCTCTCATGCAGCTGTTCAGCATCCTGTGTGTGTTGTGTTTCAGTCGGAGCTCCGTTCGGCAGCGTGATGTACGACTTTGTGGGGAAGAGCGCCCCCTTCCTGATCCTGGCCTTCCTGGCTGTGTTCGATGGAGGTGAGACTGTAAACGTCAGCACAGGGCCGGGCTGCAGCTACACATCATCCACACTCTTAAATGGTCTTGGTGTTACTTTCTGGATGAACCAATCAGGTGTCTGGTCTGCAACATGTCAGAAACACAATGTGCATCAGGGTTTCCTCCAGTGTTTTGTCTTAAAATATTCAGGAGGAAAGAAACCAGGAAACATTCACATTTAAGAAGCTGCACTCGGACGGTTTTCATCAGAGAGTGACTCAGATGATGATGCACCAGTCAGAAGAAGTCAACCGCTGAGCTCTGTAGCTGTAAATCAGGAGACATTCTGATAATCAGGCAAAATGTCGACGCACTGAAAGCCGCTCAGGTGGTTTTGGGCTGCTGAGGAATCGTCTGAGTGTCCAGTCTGGATTCAGCTGTCCCACAAAGTGGTGCATCACAGTTTCCTCAGATGGCTTGTTTTGTCCAAACGCAGTCAGTTTGCTGTGATGGAGACCAGAAAACATTCACACTGAAGGAACCTCATTTTGTAAAGACTCCCACTGATTTGTTGGACTGTCAGAATCTTCATTGTAATGGTTGATGGCTGATGGATTCTCCGTGGCGGCTCTCGTGGTGACTGGTTCTCTTCATTTGTGTTGCAGCGTTGCAGCTTTGCATCCTGCAGCCGTCAAAAATCTCTCCTGGGGTGAGTTCGCCTTCAGTGACTCTGATCTGTCGTCGTGTCACAGCCGTGGTCGAGACATGATGTTCAGGCAGAGGTGCTGCTACATGACAGTAATGAAGGAGGGTCAGAAGACACGTCTACGAATCCCACAACAGCAGCTCCTAGAAGCTCCCAGTTCCCTGATTTATAGTTTGTAAGCTGCTGATGAACATCACAACCACGACGTAGGTCTCAAGGTCATGATCAGGACCCATCAGTTCCAGCCTGCTGGTGTCATAAACGGGCTTCGTTATCACTGGTGGTGCAGCGTTATGAGCTCGTACATGAGTAGCTGGTGGTAAACAATGAGCACGTCGGGCCTGACTGCTGCGTTTACCAGCTGGACAGAAACACCGTCTGTTGGTTCTGTCTAGAACCGGAGCCCTGACTGGAGCTCATCAACCTCCTCAGAGTCTCTGTCATGGTCCCACCATGCTCTCTGCTGCCACCACGACCTGGAGTCTGAGTGACAACTCCTCTGGTCTCTACTGCAGTGGTTCTCAAGCTGGGGGTCGGGGCCCCCATGGGGGTCCCAAGATAATTCCAAAGGGTTGTCAGATCATTGTAGAAAAATAAACACAAAGCCTGCATTTGTCAGATAAATGTGTATCAGGACTGTCAGAATGAAGGCCGTATACCTGTTCCCACTCCTCTTTGAACTTATCATGATTTGATTATGTGATGACATTTTTCTTCTTTAACGCTCTTTTAAAATTATTTTCTTTAGTTTTTCTATTTTTTTTCACTTTCATTTGTTTGAAATTCATTCATTCATTCATTCATTCATTCATTCAAAAGAAAATGTTAAAGAGATGAATCTGTGGAATTAACACGTTCACTTTAGCGCATTACCGCATGAACAACAGAGTTATTGCTCACAAGATATGAGGAATTCAAATCGGGGGCTCACAAACACAAACTGATGCCATCTCTGGGATCGTGGCTCAAATAGTTTGAGAACGGCTGCTCTACAGGGTTAAACAGTGAGAGGCTCCACCTGGTGGAACAACCAGGTACTACAGCTGGTCTATTGTCTGGGACAATCAGATCTGAGATACTAATCAATACTACATGAGATACGATTTGGGCCAACAAATCTTAACCGGGACATCCCGGTTAAGAAGAAAATGTTTTAAACCTGTAATTTACCAGAAACATGAAAAGCAGGAGGTTGTTCTGGAACATCTGGTTTCAGTGGTGAAGCTCAGGTTCTTCTGGGTCGGGACGTCCAGCTTCAGCTCATGTTTGTGTTTCAGAGTGTGGAGGGAACGCCGCTACTGACGCTGCTGAAAGACCCGTACATCCTCATCAGCGCTGGTAAGAAGCTCCATATGTTCAGACACAAACTCCTGACAGAATGCCTGGCTCAGCTGGAGGATGGTCCAGGTTCAGATCACAGCCCAGTGAAGGCATGGCGACACTTGTGTTCTTGGATGTGTTTACAGTAGTTCTGCATGTCTCTGTGGTCCTTTGTGTGTCCTCTAGTCCGTTTTGTTGTCAGGCTGGAAACAGAACAGTGGTTCATGTTAAAATCCAGTTAAGTGGAAAGCTGCAGAGAGCTCCTCACTGTTTACGGGGACATGAGCCATACAATGTTTAAGTTATGGATGTTTGGAGTCGTTGAGACTCATTTTTGTCTTCCAAATTATTCTAGACGTTTTTTAAGTCATTAGTTTGTGTTATTTTGGACGTATTTTGTGTGATGTTGGAGGAAAACCTGTCATATTGATCAGTTTGAAGTAATTTTGAACAGATTTGTGTTATTTTGGACCAATATTGTGTAACTTTGAACATTTCTGTTTGGAGTCATTTTTATCTTTTTTTCATTCTGGACAGCTTTGGAGTGACTTTTACACTCTTTTATAAACTAATTTGAACGCCCACGCAGGGATCCACCTTCACACTGGGCTGCTGAGTTTCCCTGACTCAGGCTCAGGTGATTTCTGCTGCGTCATGCTCTGGTTTGTCCTCGTTTTCCTGAATCTCCAGCGGGGAGAGCAAAGTCAGCCTGACTCAGCAACACGCTAGAGGCAGGAATAAAGTGGACGAGGACCAGCCATCTGCCTCACACTCTGTAGTCTGACCGCTCAGGATTCAACAGCAATGTGTTGTCTGGCTGCTCACCTGCAGGCTCGCTGTGCTTCGCCAACATGGGCGTGGCCATCCTGGAGCCCACGCTGCCCATCTGGATGATGCAGACCATGTGCTCCCCGAAGTGGCAGCTTGGTACGGCCCACAGTCTCCCCCATATCCTTCCTTCCTTCCTTCCTTCCTTCCTTCCTTCCTGTGACTCTTTCATCCTTCAGACTTTCTTGAAGCTTTTTCAGAAATGTGTCAACTTACAATCAGGAACAAGATGAAGCTAGTGTTTGAAGTTGTGAACATGTACTGTGTGTGTGTGTGTGTGTGTGTGAGGCGCTGCCTCTTACAGGTGTGTTGTGTTGCAGGTATGGCCTTCCTCCCTGCCAGTGTCTCCTACCTGATCGGAACAAACCTGTTTGGAGTTCTGGCCAATAAGATGGGACGGTCAGTGTTGTTTGTCTCTGTTTGGGCACGCCTGGATATCACCACACCACCATGTCCAAAAACTCAATGTTAACCTAGGAAAGTTTCAGCAGTCTAGATATCACCACACAAATGTGTCAAATACCTGGTTGTTATTGCAGAAACGTGGCCAAAAACCTGTCGAGGAGGTCACAAAAGTGTGAACAACCAGGATGTCAATGCACAAAAGGTTAAAAATCTAAATATTATTGCACCAAAATGTCAAAAACCTGGATATTACCACAAAAATGGGTAAAAAAACTGATATTTCTGCACAAATGTGTAGGAAACCTGAGGCGTCATTTATCATCAGAGCGTGCAAACATTCCCACACAAAATATGGAGTTTATCAACTTGTACTTATACTTCGGAATGTGCGTAAATATACGCACACCTCTGACCATGCGTACGAATGCCATACCTCCCCTGGTCCCAGCCTACATCCAGTTGGGTGCCATACCTCCCCTGGTCCCAGCCTACATCCAGTTGGGTGCCATACCTCCCCTGGTCCCAGCCTACATCCAGNTGGTAGTGGTCGTGGTAGTAGTAGTAGTAGTAGTAGTAGTAGTGGTAGTAGTGGTAGTAGTAGTAGTAGTAGTAGTAGTAGTAGTAGTGGTAGTAGTAGTACTAGTACTAGTAGTAGTGGTAGTAGAGGCTTCACACCGAGGCTCCAGTGTGGTCAGCTGAAGACATTTCAGTGACAAACTGGGTGAGGGTTGGGTTCGCTCCATGTTAGTGAGAAGTGTTACTAGTTAAACTAGTGAAGCTGCTGTTTGTAGGGGCAGGCCCGACCAACGCTGACTGGGTTCTGTGTGGCCTGGTTTTGGTCCAGTCCTCAGGAGCAGAACAACAGAAAGAGCTGCAGATGTAGCTCCTGTCCAGGAGAAACAGCGAGCAGAGCAGAAGCAGCAGGTGATGGTCGGCCTTTCTGACTCTGTGTGACGCCTCTTCCTGTCGCTGCTGCTTGTTGTTGGAAACCCGAGCGCCTGCGTCCTGATTGGTCAGCTCAGTAAAAACAGATGATGTCACTGAGCTCACCTGGAGCGTCTCGGACAGGTTCAGTCCTCTGGTGTTTGGTTTTAACATCAGGCCAGAGCTGCAGGTCTCCACACGCCAGCAGGAAGACAGTGTGTGTTTCTGTGATGTCGCCGCCAAGCTGTGTGTGTGTGTGTGTGTGTGTGTGTGTGTGTGTGTGTGTGTGTGTGTGTGTGTGTGTGGAGTCATTACACAGCGATTAGACTGATCACAGATCAGAGGCAGCTGCCTTCAAAGCTGCAGAGGAAACATTTCTGCTTAATACACCGTCAATTACACACAGATTACAGGTATTGATCCACTGTGTGTGTGTGTGTGTGTGTGTGTGTGTGTGTGTGTGTGTTGCAGGCCATCATCGACCAGGAGTGTGTGATGCACAGGAAGAGCTACAACACACACAAGGAGAGCCGAGAGTTTCCTCTGAGCGACTACAGCGAAGAGGACCAGGAGGACCAGGAGGAGGAGACCGAGGAGTGATGCTGACACACACACACACACACAGATACACACACATATAGATACACACACACACACACACACACACACACACACAGATACACACACATATAGATACACACATATAGATACACACACACACACACACATATAGATACACACACAGACACACATACAGATACACACAGACACACACACCTACACATACACACAGATACACACATACAGATACACACACAGACACACACAGACACACACACCCCCAGGTCCATGTTGTGTTGTTGTCTCCATGTGTTCCTTGGGTCAGACGTGTTGTTGACGTCCTGGTTCCCTGTAAACCTCCAGCGGTTCTGATCCGGTCCACTGATGAAGCCTGACCAACCACAGCAGACGGCTGGCTAAGCCCCGCCCCTCCCTGTTGGCAGACAATCACCATCACTGTCCATCAGCGGACAGGGCCGGACTCCGCAGTGTGAGAGCTCACCTGGGCAGCATCACTGAAGCGTCACCTGGTTACAGACTGCATCTTCTCTCAGTAATCAGATTACTTCTCACCGTATGACATTACCTCTGATAAAAGATTACCAGCTACCAGTTCACATCCACAGATTAGCTTCAGGCTCAGCAGCAGGAGCTAAAGTCAGGCCTTCCTTACCTCCTGAGCTTCTCTGGTTCCTTCAGACTCAGTCCTCCTCAGCATGGAGGAGACCAGAGTCCACTANCATAACGCCATAAACATGAGTGGAGCCACAGACTGCACCCACATCGCATTCAAAGCAGCATCACTAATGAGTTTAATTACATTATTAGAAAAGGGTTTCATTCAACCAACGTCCAGATAATCTGCGCTGCACATTTGTGGCTATCCAACGTTGTTGCCGGCAGCCTGGAGGAACACGACTCATTCATTGAGCAGAACAGTTCTGTGGGTCTCCAAGCAGGAGCTGCTGAGGACGGCTGGCTTATTGGTGAGTGTCACAGAGTGGAGATGTTTCAGCTGGACTTAGTCTGGTTATTAAACATGTCATCTGCAGTGATCAGGGTTATCCACTGGGTGGACGTTGGTATGAACTCGTCCTCCTCCAGTTGCATCAGTTCTCTTTTATGGGCTCTTTTTAAACATTCTGCCGGCGATCTGTCCTCTGACCAACAGGAGTAACTGTGGTGGTTATCTTGTCCCAGGCAGCGTTTCTCCTTTCACTGCTCATCCCAACATTAATGCACCAAACAATAGTCTCTGGTTTGCTAAAACCTCGCTGACGAGTACCTCGATCTCAGTTTCAGAAAAGTTCCTCTTCGTCGTCCTTTTTGCCACGATGATGACGACAAGTGAGGAAAAGAAACCTTCACTTGTTAATAAAGAGGTGTGTTGCTGCCGTATGTGGTGATGTGGAGGCGTTCCTGAAGGCAACGAGCACGGAGGTTAAGAACCAGTGGGATCTACCAACACTGATGATACCACCCCCGTACGCACGTTTGATAAATACAGATTTCTTTGTACTTACACTCTAAATTTCATGCGTACGACAGAATTTAGAAGCTTTTCTAGGCACTGATGATAAATGAGGCCCCTGGATACTGACGTGTCGTTTAGGAGTTAATGTTGTGATCGAAGCGGGTTGATCCTGGAAACGTCCCATCATGCCTCAACTGAGTATCTGCAGGGAAAAGAAGCCTCATCAAGTCCAAGTTTGATGGGCTGTTGGTGGCTTAAAACCAACAAGTCATGAGTGTTTGAACAGATCCACCAGGTATCAGGAGACCTGTACGGCAGAGCCTCTGTCTGAAGGGAAGCATTGCTGCTTAAAGCCAGTCAAACAGAGACATGAAACAACTATAAAGTGATGAGTCACCAAACTTTGGACTTGGTGAGTAATTAACAGAAGACTTGGTTTAGGTTCGGGTCAGGATGAAGGTCCTGCAGACAGAAGTGCAAATGTCTGTTTCAGTTTGTGTCTTCACAGTTGAGAGTAAAACACCTTTAATGATGACGAGCTGTGTTTCTGTAGCACCGCCGGTATAACCGTACAGATAAACCCTGTCTGAGCTGACTGGGCAGCGCCGCCTCTGAACTTCACCAACACGCTGGAAAACACAACTTAAGCTCTCCTCTCCGGTTTTTAAGCTCACGCTGATGAAATTGTGCTGCGGTTCAGTTCACACGAGGAAGACGTTTCCTGGGAATCCGTCCAGCTGTTAAATCAGCAGATTAACTCTTCTGGAAAGTGGATCTTAAATCCTGTTCAGACCTGATCCTGGAGTTTTCTGGTAAACTGCTGGCGGTTTCTGTGTCTCCAGGTGGCTCTGCTCCATGTTGGGGATGTTCATCGTCGGCATCAGTCTGCTGTGTGTGAGTACAACATCATCCATTCATCTGTTCATCCATCCATTCAGTAGTCCACCTGTTCTCCACTCTGCCTGCTCAGCCACTCGTCATTTAGTCTCTTGTCTTTATGTCCCACCGTAATCCTGACAGTCATCCAT